TATATATATATGTATGTATATATTTTAAAAAACCTACCATACACTCAAAAAAAATCTTTTTGTTGCTTTTTAAGTTACTAATTTTGTATATGAACTCATCAAAATTTATCTTTTTAGATTTTTGAATAATTTTTAGGCGTTTTAAGTATCCATTATAGATATAATCTGACGTTTTAAAATTTTATGTCAATATTTTACATTGACATCAACTATTATCAAGCTTAACATGTTTCAATTAAAAAAAGTGTTGAATTAAATACTTTAATTTAATACTAAAGAACTTAGAAAAATAAAATCAAGGTTTTCTCAAATTTCATTTTTTAAATATAGATCTTCCAACTATAAACAAAGTAAGTTTTTACTTAGAAATTTCATATGACATTACATTTTGAACCACAAAAGGATTTATCCTGAAATTTTCAGCATTTACTTTTCATTAATATAAACTAACCACCTTTGTCAATCAAAATCTGAATTGGTCTTGGTGATTTTTTCATTATGAATATTATTTTTTATTATGAATATTATTTTATATTATGAATATTATTTTTTATTATGAATATTATTTTTCTTTTATCAAATAAATCAAATTCAACAAATGTTTTAATCAAAAAATATATCGAATTAAATATTTTAAGTTAATACCAAAATTAATCAAATGATTAAATACTAAATTTAAAAAATTAGGGAATCAATTTACTGTTTCAAATTAAAGTCAAACAATTCACAAAATAACAATTGTTCTTTTATGAATATTTTAATTTTAAAAATTTGTATTTTAAGTATTTGTATTATTATTTTTTTTTTTTAGGCTCTGTGATTAAAAATTTGAGTTGTGATGACAAAACAGTTCAGGAAGAAGCATTCAAAATTGCTGACAAATATTTAGAAAAAAATACTGAAAAAACAGGTGTTGATCGAAGTATAATAAACAAGCAACAAGATGTTTCTGATTCTATCATGGTACAAGATTTTTCAAAATTTTAACAGTTTCTGTTGAATTTTAATTATCCCATATTTAAGTTTAATGTTATGTTATGCTAAATAAAATGCAATTCTAAGTTTAAGGTTTTAAAATACAATTTTAAATAAGGCTTTAAATATATTACAATCTTTATAATATAAAATTAATTTTTAATTATTTGCAATATGAAATATATATTTGTAATTTTTTTTCAAGACTTTTGATAAACCAGAGATGTCACAAGGTAATTTCATTTTGTACTTTCTTTTTCTATTTTTTTTTTTTAGGTAATAATGATTATAATAGTATTAATAACACAGCATAAATATTTGTCATAAATATCAAATATTTACATATTTAGAAGAGTTTATACGTTCAATGGAAAAAGATATAGAAGAAAGAAATTTACGTAAAGCAAGAAATACAGAGAATGCACTCACTTGGAAAGAAAAAGGCAATAAACACTTTGTTCAGAATGAGAATATTGATGCTGTTAGATGTTATAGTGAAGCAATTCAATTAGTTCCTGATAATATTGTTCATTATACTAACAGAGCTCAGGTAAACATTTTCAAAGTTTATGCAATAAACTTTGAAAAATAACTAGACATAATTTATATATATTTAGAGAGAAATCAAGAGGTTGGTTTTGATAAAACTTAGTTGACTTTAATTTAGTTTATTTGGTGGGCTTCCTTTTATAATTTAAAGTTTTTCTACAATTATCATTAATATAAAAAGAATATATGCTAATGAAGATTTTCCAACACTGGAAAAATAAATTTGGAATGTCTTGTAGTTGCAGAACAAATTAAGTTGAAACAGAGTTTTATTTTTTTTATTTTTTGTTTGTTTTTTTGTTAATTAGAAGTAAATACTATTTGAGAGTTACATCTTTGAACTTATTATAACAATATTGTAATTCATTATTCACAGAGAGTTTTAATTCACTAATATGACTTAATATTTTCAAGTTTTAAACTATTTTTGAGTTTATTTTATAATAAAAATAATTATTATATTAAAAAGTATTTATATGCTCAGCGATGAATTTGATAAAACATTTTTCCCGCGGTTGTTGTACTTTGTACTGTGTACAGGTTTTGTATACTATATACAGACTTACATATTCTAATTTTATAATCAATGTAATGTGCACATTTTTTGCATTTTTTAAATCAAATTCTCTGTTATAAAACATTTTAAACTTTGTAGGCTTATTTGAAACTAAAGCAATATGATGAAGCTTTAAAAGATTGTGACACTGCTCTCAAGGTCATTTTTAAATCATTTTAGTTTGTTATACTCTATTTTTTATACTTCTCTATTTGTATAAAATTGATTATTTTTTGTTTTTTTAGTTAGATAAGCGCTCTGTAAAAGCTCTTGTACTTAAAGGACGTACTCTGGGTTTACTTAAGAATTTTGATCAGGTTTAGAGTTTTTCATATTTGTTCTTTGTTATTTTATATACATACATATATATATATATATATATATATATATATATATATATATATATATATATATATATATATATATATATATATATATATATATATATATATGTATATATATATATATATATTATATATATATAATATATATATATATATATATATATATATATATATATACATACATACATACGTCTTTAAAAAATTTTATGATTTATTTGTGTGCATATATATATATATATATAAATATAAATTATGTTAGTGTATTCTACAAATAAGGTCCTCATTGTTCTTAAAGAGCAGAGCAATAATAAATTAAAAACACTTATTTAATTTTTTTTTTTTTTTTTTTTGACAGGCTGCTTATATATATATATATATATATATGTACTTTAGGCATTAACCATCTTTAACAAAGTTCTCGCTATTGATCCAAAGCAAACCAAAATGATAAATAGTAGGTTTTTTGTAGATTTTTATACCAATTTTTTAATTATATGTACAGCAGTTATTTATACACAAGTCAAGCTGTTAACATATTCACTGTGGACCAGAGTGACCGCCAGGTTAAGTTGTTCCCCAGGTCTGATTTTTTCAATAGTTGGATATACATTAGTTGGCATTACTTATGCCATTAAAAACTTCTGAGTGATTGGACTAAGTAGAAAAAGTTTGCTCAAAATTTTTTTTTTACTCAAAAATTTTTAGCCATAAAAATCTTAATAAATTAGTTGAAAACTCGGTTTAAAGTCCGCGACATTAAATTGTGTATAAAATGGCGGACTATTTACATAAAACGTGTGCTGTTTGTCTTACACAGTTTGGTAAAAAGTCATCAAAAATTCAAAAGATTACTCCAGCAATTGAAACAAAGATAAAAACTTTCGTCTGGAGCCAGTATAGTTTGATGTAACCAACTATCCCAAGGTTATTTGTAACAATTGTCACAGAAACCTCTATGATCTTGATAGGAACAAAGTGGAGTACCTAGGCAACTGGATAGAAAAGATATCCAAGGTAAAATTCATGTTAATCTGTTTTTTTGTATATGATAATTATTAATTCTTTCTAGTTAATATTTTTTTATTTACTATCTTTTTATTAAAACATAATACATGTGTTATAAAAAAAACTTTCTGTTTTTCTGTTGTGTGCGTAGACTTAAAATGTATATAACTTCTTACATTATATATACAGCACTATAAGTATATGTATATACATATACTTAGTGTTAGTATGACACGCATTGAGGTATTTGAGTATAATGTGTATATATGTAGTATATATATTTAAGTTATACAAAACACGTATATAAAACATGTGTATTGTATAAGATAAACAACTATTTGCTATTTATTTACTATTTTTCACTGTTTATAGTGTAAGCTTAAAATTTAATTATATAGTATATTATTTAAAATTTAATTATATAGTTAAACTTTAAGTGTAAAAAGTGTGAATATAATATACCCATCGTTCTCCTAAATGAGCAATAAGTGTCAACTCAAATTCCAAAGAAACCACAATATGCCTGTGAAAGCTTATGACTCCTGGATTCTAAAAATATAAAAATTCAAATCATCCTATTACGTCCGAGAAAGAAAATCACTTTTGAAAATTTTTGTTTTGCACATATTCATGAAATGACAGCATTATCGAAATTTTACATTTTTACAGCATATCTTAACATTCAAAAAGCTCTTTGAAAATAATAAAACCTACTTGACATAATAAAGAAACAAAAATTATGAAAATGTGAAAGATTTTATGTTATAAAATTGGTAGTAATCCAAATAGGTAAAAGATCACTTGGGTAAAATATTGCTTTTCTGAAAGTTTTTTCTAATAAGTTAACTCTAGAATAATTTCAATAATAGTTTGGTAGTAATCCAAATAGGTAAAAGATCATGTGGGTAAATATAAAAGAAATATTGAAATAAATTCCACATTTAAAGCAACAACATTCTTGACAAAAAAAATTCTTTACAAATTCCAAACTGTTCACAGACTTTTGCTGTTAAAATCAACTAGGCACATTTCTAGCCTTTTTCCATAATCTGGATAGCTGATAGGTCGTTTGTATCGTTGCCAATGGTTCTAAAAACGATGATGAATAGATTCTGTTGCTTGCTCACTGTAGATTCCAAGAGGAGACCTTGTTTTTTGGATGAAGTCCTTAACATGGAAAAACACTGCATGTACTTTTGGAGTGATGCTTCCTCTTAGCAATGCCAAATTTGAATCTCTGAATGAATCAATTTTTTCTGCAAAAGTGCAATCCAACTTGTTGCCAAAACATGCAGAAATAATGGGACCAAACTTTCGAAAGCTGTCAATGATGCTGAAAACTTGAAAGGCACTGTCATTTTCAGCCAGTGTTTGGAGAAGGTCGAGATTTTTGAGGAGCTTGTGGCAATCATTCCCAGCAAATTGACCACCATGAAAAGGTTGGGGCTGAATGTGCAAAGCTTGGAGCCATTCAGCTGATTTGGGCAAAGGTCTGTTAAGATCTTGAACAGATGGTTAACAACCCCAAGCAGTAGATGAAGCTCCATTGGTGGAATGAGATCAAGCACAAATGCATCATCATCAAGTGAGAGAATAGGGTCATTAATCACGTTTCCAAACAATTTTGCTTTCTTGATGTTGGATCCATCTGCTGTGTAGGTTTTGTGTGCTTGCTTCAAAGATCTAAAAGTCCTCAGAGTACCCCGGTTTGCAAGGTTAGAGCTTTCCACAGTGCACCATGTGCATGGATGAGCTGAAGCATGTGATTGCAATCCACAAATTATATTTGCCAACTTCATATCACACGAGACAACAAAGTTGATTTCCCTGATTGAAATGAGAGAGAGAATGAGCTTTACATTGGAGTAATTCTCTTGAACTCTTTCAGCAACTGCAACCAGAAGTTGCTGTTTTACTTCAGAATCCTTGGACGTTGAAGATGTCAGAAATCTTTTGTTTGGCGGAGACACAGCTTCACTATCTGCTTCATTTTGTAGAACTCCAAGGCAGACTTTAAGAAAACCTCCACCACAATTTATTCCAAGTTTAATGATGTGTTTTGAGAAAACCTTCCTTAAAAGTAGAACTTCTTCAGTGAGTGCTTGGAGATTTTTGCAATGGACAACAACACTTTGAGACTTCTTTTGATCTGAACTAATGAATGTTGTTGGGGTTTGTGTAAAGTGTTCTTCTAGACTTTTTCCAAGATCCTGGAACTTGTGCAATATATTTGGTTTCAGAACTTTGGCAGACAAAACATGCCTAATAGTGGAAGTCAGTTTTTTTATTCCACTGTTTGACAATCCTGTATTTAGTTGAACTTGAGCAAGATCCTTTAGGGTGACTACAGCTGGATCTTTGAACAACTGCTTAGAACAAGAAGGACCTGTTAAAGAGTAAAATATAATATTTTAGTTACTTTTCAAAGAGTAAAATATAATATTTCAGTTATATTTCAGTTAATGTGATGGTCGACCTTAATGAAGAATTATATACAAACCTTGTGTGATTGGGAGCAGTCTTAATGGTTCCACAAGGAGAAGATTCTTTGCTGACAATTGTTGAGCTGGCAATTTGTTCTGCTACAATTCCATCAGATTTTGCAAGCTCCCTTAAGTTTTCACGGAACTGTGATGAAGAGCAATGATGGGGTAAACCTTGACCAATAAGAGAGAGACATGTAGAACATCTTTTGTCTGATGTTTTCTCTCCAGTTTTTGTTCTTTCAAGAGGGTGTTTCTCTGTCAGTTTAAGTCGCCCTATGTCACAAATCAAGCATTCACAAGCTTGACCACGTGTGTGAACTTTTATATCTTTTAAATTGAAACAGCTTGGGCAAAAAAACCTTCTGCCCTTGATCACACTTTCCAAGGGCCAGTCTACACGGATCACAAAGACCTTGAGGAATTCTTGGATCATCAAAGTTGAACTGCTTTTTGTAGTTGTTTTGAATTTTGCTGACCAAAAACGGTGTCAATTCACGATTTCCTTTTCTAAGACACATGATACAAACAACTTTTCTGTTCTCATCATGACTTCTTGCATGATTAGGCATTTTAAATTTATTTCAGGAGAAAAGGTTAAAAAATTGACCTTCAAAAGCTTTGATTTGTAGTAAACTGCTTTTTCCCAGAATTTTTTTGGTAAATTCTTAAAAATATTTTTTAACTGCCTTTTCCCGGAATTTTTTGGTAAATTCTTAAAAATAATTTAAAATTACCAATATTATTCAAAAAGTGCAAATTAAAAAAAACTATTATTGTAATTATTCTAGAGTTAACTTATTAGAAAAAACTTCCAGAAAAGCAATATTTTACCCAAGTGATCTTTTACCTATTTGGATTACTACCAATTTTATAACATAAAATCTTTCACATTTTCATATTTTTTGTTTCTTTATTATGTTAAGTAGGTTTTATTATTTTCAAAGAGCTTTTTGAATGTTAAGATATGCTGTAAAAATGTAAAATTTCGATAATGCTGTCATTTCATGAATATGTGCAAAACAAAAATTTTCGAAAGTGATTTTCTTTCTCAGACGTAATAGGATGATTTGATTTTTTATATTTTTGGAATCCAGGAGTCATAAGCTTTCACAGGCATATTGTGGTTTCTTTGGAATTTGAGTTGACACTTATTGCTCATTTAGGAGAACAGTGTACCATTTAGTATGCTAAAATAATATCACTTACTGACCAATATTTTTTCCATTAATTTAGATTAAAAGATTGCATCTTAGAAGATCATCAAATATCAACAACATTGTTGATGAAATTAATGCTTCTAATGATTCTGAATGTGCCAAGTCCTCCAGACTATGTTCAACATGCTTTGGTTTTGTAGGTTAGAATGTTATTATTATTGTTGTTTTATTTTTTCATATTTATAATGCTTCACATAAAAAAAATTATTGTACCTAATAAAATACTTAATTAAAAATTTTGTTCATTTGTTTTTAATCAAAAATAATTAGTGCAAGGAGTAGTTCATATCTGTACAGAGAGCAAAGCTGTTAATAATCTCATTGTAGCAGCAGAACAGCTTGGACCTAAATATTCAGAACGGGTAGCCTCAGGCAAGTATATTAGGCTGTTCTTTTAATATAGATACATATTTTAAAGTTTTAAATAATAAACATTTTATTAATGTATGTTGCCAGGTATACTTAAGCACAAGATGGAAGCTGAAAATATTTGTAGAGGACAGAAGTTTCAGCTGGCTACTCAAGGGTCTCCTTTGAACATTGTGGTTGGAACTCCTGACAAAAAAACTGACCGAATTGAGCTGAAACAGGTGTCCATTGGTACTGTTATGGAGTTAGTTTAATCTCTTTAGCTTCAAAAAATCAAACAAAGAATTTTTGTTAGATATATAAATCTAGTATGGGAACTCAAACCTGCATTGAAGCAAACATCTTTGAAAAAGTCGAGGCTCTCCATAACTGTATAGATGAATTTTACACTTCTAAAGAAGTAGATTTTATGGATGGTGAAGAAGTCATTACTATACATTGGTTCATGTAAAAGACACATCTACATTTATACAGCACATCATTACAGAAAGAGGAATAAATCCACATGACTCGATATTGAGAATAGCTATGGATTCAGGTCAGGGATTCCTTAAAATTACTGTAAATGTTTTTAATCCCCTCGATAAAACTTCTTCAGATTCAGAGCTAGATGATGCTGGAGTAAAGAGATCCTTTCTTATAGCAATTGTTGAGGGGGTTTCTGAAGCTAACGATAATCTTTGGAAGCTTATTGAGTCTCTGAATTTAAACGATGTAAAGTTTTACATTGCATTTGATCTTAAATGTGCAAATTCAGTGTTCGGAATTAGTAGTCATGCTGGGAAATACAGTTGTTTATATTGCAAGGAATCCTGCACTCTTGAGCATGGTATCAAGAGAACACTTAGGTCCTTGGATGAACACTACAACAACTTTACTCTTGATGGAAAGAAGAAGTTAAAAATGTCAAACTTCAAAAATGTTATAAATCCAAGACTTTTGTACAAAGAGGAAGATCCTGAAACTCTTCTTGAGGAATTGGTTCCTGTTCCTAAGCTCCATATTCTAATGGGAATAGTAAGTAAACTCGCAGTACTTCTGGTTAGTGTATGGCCTTTGTTTGAGAAGTGGTTACAATCAAATTACATCATGTTTCGAGGATACCAAGGCATAGGACTTGATGGAAACAATGCAAACAAGTTCCTGAAGTTGGTGGATATACTTGAAAGAGATATTATTAACATTTGAAAATATGACTTATTACCAATAGTAAACTGTCTCAGAAAGTTTAAATGCCTTCAAGCAGAAGCATTTGGTATGGTAGCAGGGGATAAAATCAGCACTGCTGTTCTGGAGTTTAAAAAGTCCTATGCAGATTTGGTTGAGTATGTGCACACCACATTCGAGGGTATCGAGCTCAGTGTTACATGGAAAGTTCACATAGCAGTATGTCATATACTTCCTTTTCTTCATTTGACTGACCGTGGCCTAGGAGTTTACTGTAAACAAACAGGAGAAGCTATTCATCATGAGTTCAAAAAAACATGGAATAGATACAAACGAAGAGTTAACCATATAGATTATGCAAAATGGCTAAAATCCAGTGTTGTTGAGTTTGCATCAAAAAACATTAAATAATTTAATAATTATATAGTTTAATTTAATGTTTATAATTTCAAGTATATATTGTAAAGTATATTATTTATAGCATTTAGACTTGTAATATAACTAATTAACATAAAGCTTTTTTTTATTTTTTACTTTTATTTGTTTAGGATAAGTTATAGCTATTTTTTGATTTTTTTGTCTTAATTTTTTTTTTTTTGGAAATTCCAACACCCCAGAAGTTCTAAATGTTATAAATGGTGTCTACTAATGTATACCTAACTATTGAAAAAAAAAAATCAGACCTGGGGAACAACTTAACCTGGCGGTCACTCTGGTGCACAGTGTATTGTTAGCATAAAAATTCGACTAAAGTATGTCATACATTTGTTGCTGTCTCAAATAAATAAAATGTTATCATCTATCTATTTTAATTTAAGCATATATGTTCTTAACATATATATATATGTTCTTAACATATATATATATATGTTCTTAGCATATATATATATGTTCTTAGCATATATATATATGTTCTTAGCATATATATATATATGTTCTTAGCATAAAATATATATGTTCTTAGCATAAAATATATATGTTCTTAGCATAAAATATAAGTTTAGAAAAGACCTGGAAACAATTGAAATGAGAAAAAATAATGAAAATCTGAAAACAAAGGAAATAAAAAAAAACAATAAAAACTTGGAAATGATGGAATTGTAAAAAACAATAAAAATCTGGAAATAATCAAAATTTTCAAAATAAAATCAATCGAAATAAAAGGGACCAGAGCAGTTTAACTTTTGCTGCAAAAATACTGGCTCTAGCTAATTTATACAACTTTTATTTAAAAGTTTATTTTTTTAAAGCTTCAATTTTATTCCTTATTTTCATAAAAGATTTACAATAATATCATTATTTATTTATTTTTACATTTTTTTGGGTAAAGTACTTTAAACAAACTTAATATTTTAAAATTTTTTGTTAGTTCTTTTCATATTCAAAATTTTTGTTCTTTTCATTTTACCTTTTTAAAAAAAATTTAAACAATTTTAAATTGAATTAAATTCTAGCTAAATTCTAAAAACATTCCACCATGTTGAAAACTTTGATATTGATATATTTTATATTGGCTTCAAAATTATATCTATCTATTCTGAAAAAGTACTGAATCTCACTTGGTTAAAGCAAGTCTAACAAAACATTTATTAGATTAAGTCTTTCATCATAACTTGTATGTATAAAAATATGTGCTTCGTAAAAAAGGAGTAATATATTTTGAATGAATAATATATAAAGTTCATATATTTATACATATTTATATAAATTCAAACCATAAATTTATATATAAATCATTATATATATATATATATATATATATATATATATATATATATATATATATATATATATATATATATATATATATATATATATATATATATATATATATATATATATATATATATATATATATATATATATATATATAAGTTCATATATTTATACACATTTATATAACTTCAAATCATATATTTATGATTTATATCAAATCAAATATATTCTGAATAAAGTTGTTACATCAAGGTTATTTACAAATAGTAATAAGTTAATATGAAGTAAACACCTGTCAAATTCAATGAAAATAAAATGATAATAATTATAATACAAGTAATAAAATAAGTAAATGAGTAAATAAAAATAATAGTATTAACAGCGATTAAAAGTAATAGTAAAGATAATAAAAAGTATACACTATACTATAATAGTAATAATAATAATAACAATCAAAATAACAATAATAACAAAAAAAAATAGTAGTATAACATAAACAGTATATAAAAATAATTATAACAATATTAACAACAGTAAGAATAATGATATTTATAATGTTGAAAATATAGTAATAATAACAATAATAGTGATGAAGAGAATACTAATGAAAATATTTCTGTTTAAGAAAGACTAAAATAACAAATTTAACAAAAGATATTAAAATTAGTATTATAATAAAACATATATGAGAAAAAAATATTAGATAAATAGAAGCTCAAAGTTAAGGTTATAAATAATAAGTTGAAGAAAGATATAAGATTTATAAGTAATATTTTTCTAAAAAATAAAGAGAACAGTTTTAAATTTTGATAATGATTCAAGAGAATTTAGTTAAGAATAGAGATTGTTCCAGGAGTTTGTTTTGCTTTTATGTTGTATGTATACAAAGCCAAAATGAACAGTTGGATATTTAGGTACAGATTATTTAAAGTTACCAGCAGATCATAGAATATAGTTACAATTTTCTCTGTAATTCAAAAAATACATAAATGTTGGAGGTAGGTTATTGTGATTTTGGTTCCTAACAAATAGGTAATTTGATGCTAAGTAAGATCACACAGTTTAAGGACTTTAGATGAATAGTATGGTATACTACAGTTTGAATTAGTAGATTGGAAATAAATTAATTTTAGAACTTTATTTTGGAGATGAGTTAGTCTTGCAAGCTGCTTAGATTGCCCCCAAACATAACAAGCATGTCTAAGATAAGAGTAAAAAACGATTGTATGTTTAGCTTATATTTTTGAACAAGATCGCCTCTTTTCCGTCTGTCTTCAAGGATGGTTAGTTTCATGTTTTTTCATTGAGTTTTGTATTATTTATTTTTCAAAGCTTTTATTGCGTTGCCTTGTACCTTTTCAATTTTTTTTATGTCACTATCAAGGTAAGGGTTCCAAGCTTGTAATGCAAACTCCAAATGTGGTCTAATATATGCAGTATAAATTTTTTTCCAAATGTCAATGTCTCTTAATACAAATGTGTGTTTAAGAATTCCAAGCATATTATTTGCTTTGTTTGTAGCTATATTGCACTGTTGAGCATCTTTAAGATTCTTGGATATTAGAATTCCGAGATTTTCAGAATTTGTGATTTCTAAAACTACTCTTTGGTTGTACCGTCATTTTTTATTTCATCTATAATGTAATCAAATTTTATTGTTCCAGAGTAACTTTACATTTTTGTTACATTTAACTCCGTTTGCCAGGTTTTCGTCCATTTAACAATATCGTCTAGATCGGATTGTAAACCTGCTTGGTCTTGTTTACAATCCGATCTAGACGGATTGTAAACAAGACAAATCTTGGTCATCATTTTCAACAACTTTCATGAGCTTTGTGTCATCTCCATGCATTTTGCAAATGGCTGGTTTGACATGAATTGACAGGTCATTAACAAATATGACAAAGAGCGTTAGTCCTTTGTCATATTACACAGCATGATGTAAATTAAGCAAAGTTTTATGATTAACATAATAACAGATTTTAGCTAACATGTTTTTGTTTAATTTAAATGCTAAATCTTGAAAATGCCATGCAAGAGATCTATTTTGATTACAAGATATTTAATAGATTTATTTTCTCCCTACTTAAGTGCTTATTTATTTATTTTTGAACAG